CCTTTGTTCTACTGAAGTGTGAACTCAACTTCAAGCGCTTTTCGGGGTATCTGCTGTAGTTCACGCTGTTCTGTTTGTTTTTGCTTTTTTCGAAAATTACTTTAGTTATTCTTTTGGAAACCTGTAATGTGTTCAGAAGCTCATCAATCCTTTTTCTTTGCTTTCATTATATGTTTTCAACCTTCGAGCGTAAATTCATCTTCTTATAAGGTAGTTGTCACACTGAAGCAACTCTGCATTTTCACCGAAAATAGGGTGGGATGGCTGAAGACGGGGGGAGGGAGGCTCGCCCTCTCCTATTTCAATCGTATGGTCCTATCAACATATTTTCACTCATTTCTACGAATATGACTTCAACTTATGTGTTCCTTGATTTGCTATGGATTTGTTACTTCTATAGTCTTTGAGCTTCCAGTACGTTTAGGAATCCACACGACGCGCTATGGATGAGCTGTTCCAGTACTATATATCAATAGGAGACATTACAGAAGCTCTTCATCTCTACAGTCGTGGAATGCGAGAATACTGCAGCCAGTTCAAACATATAATTCAGGTAACATTTATCACACTATTTGTGAATTTTCTTATCGCCATCGCCATCACTTTTCACAGATGTGGATCAACTGGATGGAAGCTTCTATATGGGTCGGTGAATGGCAGCGCGTTGATACTATTGCGGCCCAGGCGGAGCGCAGCATGAAAGAGGCCGAAGAAGCTGAATCGGTTAGTGCATATTTGATCTTTTTTACATTTTCAAAATCTCTATATCTGAATTTATGTACAGCAAGCCGGTTCAATGGCTGCTTCTCGTACTCGTCCAGTTATCTTTGGAGTATCCTCATCAAACACAAACCGTGCAGCTGTTACCAAATGTACGCGCTTGCTCATAAGCGGTGGGAGGGTGAGTCAGCTTTATTTTGCTCTTTTTGGTCATGCTGAAATTCCTCTTGTTCAGGCAAAACTAGATGCAGCATGTGGACTATCGAAACTACAAGCGGGTCGTTACAAACAAGCAGCCGATAGATTTTTGAAGGTTAGGGTCTAGCTGCTCGCTTTGAAGGCAGCGTCCAGGCAAATCTGGACCTATGTGGCTATCACGTGGAAAGTAATCTTGAGGCCTTAAATGAGGCTCTGCCCAAGCGGCAGCTCAAATAGTGCACTCACGGCTA